AGCTTAAGGAGCCAAGCTGTTAAGATGTTAAATTTATCATTTGTCATCAGATCTGGATCAGACTAAAGAAAATTAAATCAGGCTCCCAAAATAAATGTAATTACTTTAAACATGGAAACATTTGAGTGTCCCAACAACATAATACGTCAAGACACGTCAGCTTGGTTTAGGAGTGAATAGAAAGTTCCTCTAACAAAGTTTATGTCAAACCCATTATAATCTTTTAATATCACTTTAAAGTGGAATTTTTTCCAGGCATCAATTTAAGGTGATTCTTTCAGTAAAGATATATTTTCCTAAAGAAATCCTCTTTCTCTTTTAATGTTTGGGACTGTGACCAGGAGTCTACTGATATGTTGCTCTTTGTAAATTAGTTTGCTGCTCAAACTTTAAGCTTATCAACCTTTTTACTGATAGCATCTTGTAAGAAAACGTCAGCTCCAATATTGCAATTTATTTTTGCTATATTAAGGGTTGTACATGTTTTTTTATTTCACATGAGAAAGATAAACAGATATACTTTCATAACCTAACTACCTCTAAAGGTGATGCTCCAGTGGGCTTGTTTGTTTCATTTACGATGAAGGAGTGGAGCCAGAGGTCAGAAAAACCCAAAAGGTGATGTGTGATGTGTCTCATGAATCATGCCACGTGGTTCTGGGTCTGAGTGTGTGCGTGCTTTATAGTCTGTGAAATAAAAACTGGGCCGTGCAATGCTGGAAGAACGAAGGGGATGGGGTCATGACATAATCAAGCACTGATTTAACTCAAACTGCCAACACACGTACACAATCTCCCTTGGGCCTGAGATAACCAAGTCAAGAGCCCAGGGGTCAGAGGTCAGGGCTCTGGCTCATGGGGAACACATGGAAGGGATAAAAGGACTCTGGATTCCATGAAGTGTGAGCGGTGACTGACTTATTTATGAATCCAGGGAAAACAATTCTGTCTAGGCCAGCCTTATACATGTAGCTGGAGTAATACCGAGGAGAAAACAAATACGTCTTTTTCCATTGAAGTGCTTTCATACAAAAGTGAAACCTAAACTCGTGCTATGCTGTGACAGGCAGGGCTTTTGATTTGGTTTGGTGAAACTAATTCTAATGCGTGTTATTTGCTGCCTAAAAGACACATAGACCACTATCTGTTTTTCAGAAGTAGTAGACAATTAGCCTGAATGTTTTCATAAACTAAATGTGATCGTTACAACATAATTAGATGTGGGATGTAATTTTATGAACCCTGACACCCTCATTACTCTTAAATACTGTGCTAATGCAGATGAGGGTGGATTTATCCTTTCAGCTCAAACTTATACAAACTTTTCGGTTTTTAGCGAAACTGGAGAAAATATGTTTTTCTTTTTCAATTCCTATATAAATGTAGTCATTTTAAAAACCCAGTAATTCATAAACTTTCAGCACTACTTTTAGCACCGCTGTCTCTCTGTACTTACCTTCTGGACATTGTCCTTCATTTCTTTGAGGTTCTTACAATTATTTCTATCTTTGACTACAAACCTTTGCTTTTCTGTAGATTGAGGTTTGCACTATGATTAGGCCATGACCATGATTTGTAGCCATGACACAGGCCCAATCACCACCACTCCACTAATACACTTAAAAGCCGGTATAAGTTTTTTATGCTGGCATGCTTGTTTGTTTTTTCCAATCATCATAATGTGCAAGAGACAGCTTTTTAGGCCCATACGGGAATATGTTTTTGTGGGTTAGATGGTATGTTGAAGCCATGACCTTCAACATGCACTCTGAAGCAGTTGAGATTACAACAACAAAACAAAAAAAAAACTATTTTTTTTAAGACTGAGGCAATGGTAATTAAGTGTGTGTCTTGTCCAAATGCTATGATGAAATGTTGCAGAAAATTGATGTAGGAGGATTTTTGCCTTGTCTAGAACAGTGATGACCTTGAAATGGACTGTTGTGATAAAGAAAGAGCTTAGACAAGAAGTGAACTTCTGGATTCACTGCTCAACCCATATTCCAACCATAAACCAAGATCATGAGATTAAGGATGAGTTGAGAAGACTGAGAGAAAGGTGGGTATGAACCTCCCTTCAGAGGGTTGCTGATCTTAGCCATAAATATACGTTGAAGAGAGTTGTCGTGAGAGTGAGGTAAACTTACTTTTCATTAAAACTAATTAACTTGTTGAAGTATCTGATCAGGATAATGTACCTCCTGGACATCTAAGCATAGAGAATTCTGGGTATGTCCCACTCAAAAGAAGACACATAACCTGCTGAAGGACTACAGATCCTTTTCTAACCTCAGAACATTTTGTCTTCAATAAGTGGGTCGCCGAGGAAAGGGATGGGGTTCATGGTTGAGTCTGTGTCTTTTTTCTTTCCCTGACAACTTTTTCTTAAAAATATCACTACAATCAATTTATTTTATTAAAGCCAACTGCCTTAGAGAAAGCAACATTCTGTTTTAAAGGTCTTGGGCTATAACTTGTTTCTCCTAGAAAGTCATGACTATTGTAAATGTCTTAATGTTAAAGATGATTTTAATGACATTTATAATGATGCACATTTCTAGGCAAGTCTTAGAAAAAGCAAATAATTTTTTTTATTTTTTAACAATGGATTTTTTTCCCCAAAGTATGTGCAAACAAATGTTATCTTGTTGGGCTGTTTCTTTTTACAAGTCCACATTACAGGACGCGCATGAAGATGAGCCAAGGCAATATGCAGTGAGTATACTGGGAAAATGTGTTCAGTGTAAATTTGTTAAAACTGAAGATAAAGGAAGATGCTCATTGTTATTAGTTTTTTCATTAATACCATGTGTGTTTGATGAACTGTCTAAAACTATTAAGTCATCATCAAAACACAAAATGAAGCAACAAGTCAGCTGGATGGGTCGGTTCCAGTGTATACGTTTCCTGTGGACCAGAGGGAGAAATTAAACAATGACTCCTGATTAATTTTTTTTTTTTTTTTTTTTTTTTGGTGGGAGAATTTGATATGCCAACTTCTTCTTGTAGCTGTCCAGTTTCTGTATCATCAAGAAATGAGCAGCTTCTGCATTCTTCCAAGAAGCTGTTGATGCCACCCTTTCAGCCTGCAAAAAGTCTCCACTTTTTCATCTGTAACAACCCTTAACATTTAGGTTAAAAATAAACAAAAGTATTGATTTAACTTCTTAAGTAAAAGGAAAAGGTACAGGTTCTGAAAGGTACTCAGGTGGGAAAATATAATATTCTCCTCCAATAAAACCAAACATTTTTTTAACATCTCTACAAAAGAATTTCAGGCACACAGTGTAGCTCATTTGGTTACAAATTACCATAAAAAGCACAATTATATGTATTTTTTCCTTAAGATTTGAGAGAGAATTATCAATCAGTAGCAGTTCCTAGTACCTTCACTGTTAATTATTTTAGAGGCGATACAATTAAAGAGGTTCTCCTTATGAAGGCCTTTGAAAGAAAATGTTTTTCTGCCTTCATTTTTGTCATGAAACATGACAGGAAGTAACGTGAGGTAAGAAAATATAAAAGGTTAGAAGGCAGCGGGACTAACAGTCATCATGTCGTTGAGCTCATCACCTTAGGACCCTCAGACAATAGGGACGAGATGAAGAAGACGGGAGCCAGCAACAGACGCTGACCGAGAACAATGAAGCAGTAATGGCTCCGACACAGTGAGTGGAGTTTAAGAAGCTTCCTTCCTGCCCTCATTTATCAACTCATATCTTTCCCAGTTCTTTCCTCATTGCAGTCTGTGAAATGGGCTGCTTTACCTTTACATCCTGATAACACCTTTGCTTTAAAATAGTTTCTCTCTCTCTCTTATCGACATAGCAACTCTTATAACTTCAGTTGTAAGTGATTGGAATAGCACTTCACCTCTCTGTGTTTTGATTAAAACTACTACCTTGCCTGAAAGACAGAGGGTATCAAGTTAAGGTTTTATGACTTTTTTGTGTTTTGACAGGTTTGCCCCAGATCTTCTGCATGGAAAGGCTATCCAAGGAGATGGAAAACTTAACATGGGACACTGCACACTCATCGTATGTCCAGAGTTGTTTATCTGGTTTCATTCCTCATCTCAAATTTCAAAGCAGTCTGATGGCAGAGGAGTCTAAATGAGGAAGGTCTGTCTGGGGTTACCATATTTATCCTCCTATCTCTGCTTGTTTTACCCAAGACTGACTCTTTGTGTGTGATACTTGAAAAAGGATGTGACTGTTATCGTAACATCCTCTGGAGAACTGAGGGTAAGGAGTTAAAACCTTCAGGAAGTTAAGTTTGCAAAGGACAGCCAGTTTTGACTGGGAAAATATCAGCAGGCTCATGGTGCTGGGGGAGTGCTCCTCCTGTCTTTCTCATTTACTGTGTTCATTGTTTCTCTGCAATAAAGAAAGAAGATAGATCTGTGGACAGGTTATGAGCTACAGTATATATATATATATATATATATAGTACATAAAGACCAGGTGGTCTCAAAGAGGCCTTAGCTATTATGGATTCCATGTAATGCTCCTGAGTTAGATTAGAGCCACCGCTTGAACTTCGAGCCTATTACTCAAGTTAGGGTGACCAAACGTCCTCTTTTGCCCATGTCCACTTTTTATGTCCCGTCCAGGACATCTGGAGGGGGATTATAAATGAATAAAAATGTCAGTTTTTCACTATTTTTTTTCAATGAGACCATTATCGTGTGCTTAAATCAAATGGCGCTTTGAAAATAATACTACAGTACTTTGATATATGATGTAATTCTCGAGAGAACTGCCTTGAGCTAGGCTCTAGCGAGACAGCTATTCTTGGACACAAAATCTCTAAATGAAGTTTCAAAAACTGTTTTGCACATACGTTCTGCTTACAACAAGAGTGAGGCTGAGAACGTGTGCAAAGCTAGGCACATATATATTCAGTATATAATAAAGTTGTTGAATATCTCAGTGTCATAATGGGCTTTAAAGTTCTGACCCACATGCAGAGAACCACTCAGAGACCAAGGTAAAAGTTAACTGGTTTATTGAGGGTTGGCAAAAACACAGATGGATATTCTGCTGGGTAATACTGTTGGACCTCAGCGGACTGGTGAACTGGACCCGGAAACTGAGAAGGGGAGATCACAATGATCCGTTCAGGGACCGTGGGAAAAAAGACAGAGGCTAGGATATTGCTTGAGAGGCACTTACGTTTTGGGGTGCTCTTGGTTATTCCTTGGATCCAGTTTGTGGGGTTAAATGCAGAGAAGAATGAACTCGTTGGAGAGCGCACAGGCAGACTAACATTAGACCCAGGGGAGTAAAGGAGCGGACTGTCACTTGGTTTTCCAGAAGTGGACTTGAACGGATCATGTGGAGCTCAGTGTGACTCAGTTAATCCTTCCAGGGCGGGTAGAAGGTCCAGGCTCATCCAGTGATACAGAAAGGCTTCTTTCTGAAGAACAAAGACAAAGCAAGTTTAGACTTAGAGAGACAAGGCTAAGGTTAGACTCTGCTAATCTCAGTTTGGCTAGAGTACCCAATAATAGCAAACACTCTGGCGTTGAGGTAGTGACAGCCTGCTGCTCAAATACTCCTCTGGTAATGACCCAACGAGCCGCAGGTGCGCAGGGAGGCCCAACGAGGACAGGGCACCATCTGGTGCTGGAGAAAAGAAAAACACAAAAACAACCCACACAAAATGGAATCCTAACACTCAGAGCTCACATGGACACTGAAAAAACATAAAAAGGCTGCAGAAGGTGAGAGATCTTTTTTGAAGTTGAATGAGTATTCTGTTGGACCTGCGAAAACAGGATGTTTTCCTGCTGTAAATGCAGCATACTGTGAAACACCAGAACAGCTAAAAGTCCTTGGATTACACCAGTAAAGCGGGGCAGCTGCTGCTCACATTCTATGACTAACTGCAGCGTTTAGTCGTACAGTGTGAGCTCACAGCTCACGATTTATGTTCGGCCCGATGCTCTCATGCGATCTACCTGCTCACACTGTACGACTAAAAACCACGTCGGACTCAGCTCCATATTGAAATGGAGTTCTGAATCGTCTATGCGGAAGCCAAACAAATAGAAGAGGAATATGAAGCTGACTAGAGTGAAACGCGCTGCCTTGCAGTTTATGCAATTTTGTGCTGAAAGCCCTAAAAAGAAAAGACAACAACATATTGGGAAAAAAGACATGGCTGAGCAAACGTAGCTACTACGGTCTTTCAATTTTACAGAAAGAACTCAATTTCACTCATTGCATCCCTGCCATGCTTCTGTGTTTACATCTGAGAGGAATAATAAAAAGAAGAAATCTTGTTTGCACGTGCCCACGGAGGGATTTGCCAACGACGGTCCGGACCTTGCGATTCCTGATCGGGAGGTGGTCATGAGAGGCTGATCGCCCCTTGTAACCCCCTGTACACTACACGATGCACGATCAGGCTGAAAGTCGGCCGGAACGAAAGATTGTTGCACCACTGGAAAATCGCCCTGATAATCGCACAGTGTCTTAAGAGGGGGTGCCAACTGTTAATTGTTACATGTAAGGGTTTTGACCAGGTCACAAATCTGAAGAGCTTCATTGAAAGGTGCAACAGTGATAAATTCAGAGGCCTGCAGGTAGAACAGAAGTGGAACAAAACACATCATACCTAGAGCTACTGATGATTGCACAGTTTGTCTTTGCATTTCTCTTTGAAGACACTTCTTGTAAAGATCTCTATGCATATCTGGTGAGCAACTGAAAACTGCTGGGAAAGCTCAGCTCTACAGCAAAATATGAATGGGAACCCAAGGAGGATGGGGAAAAAAAGGATGAAGAAGAAAAGCAGGAGGTAGATCAGAAGGAAGGAATGTAAAATGAAGAAGACAACTAAAGATTAAAAATATAGATCTAAAACTATAGGAATTTATCTATTTAAAAGACAGCTATAATTGTGTTACTGGTTGCTACAGATTTTGTTTATTACAGAAGTTATTTTTGTATCATCGAGGTATAATAAAGCATGTCCATTAATCTCTAAAAAGCCTCTTTAAATCCGTCTCATGGCTGGTCGAAATGTCCTCATTTTAGGAAATAAAAATATGGTCGCCCTAATAAGGTGCACCAATCAGCACTGGGCTAATGAGGAGTCTCCATAAACGTTATACTTTCTTTGTGAGATCTTGGTTTTTCTGAGGTTATGGTGTTTCTGGTTAATGTCTGTCCAGCTTGGGATTGTAAAAGTTATCACTCTTTGTTCACCACAAAAGCTCTGCTTGATCGGCCATCATTTGCTTATACTGTAGGTCTAGAAATGAGAGAAATTTCTAACCCCTCTGTGCTTTTTTTGCAACGGTTGGTTCAACATTTGTTGCCTGACAGATAATTACCATGCTCACTCATAATAAAATCTATCTATCCAAAAGGTTGAAGGTGCAGAAAGTCGTTCAACTTTCATCTAACATGTCTTTATGTTGCAACTTTTGTCAATAAATCTTGGTATTCCTTCCCCTGAACTGTTCCATACAAGAACAGGACTTTGCAGACTTGGTCGTCGTTCCTCTGGCTAACAGCTGAATCTATCTTTCTAACCGCGATATCTTGTGAGCATAATTTCCAGCTCTGATGATTTTACATACATAACATAAACCACAATCTGTGCAAGTGCTTAATTTCAACCATTCAGCCATGAAGTATACATAAACACTCTAATCAAGCAGGAGATAGATTGATGGATTAGAGGTTACACCACCACAGGTTGTGCATGTAGTTTGCAGAGACATTGTTAGAACGTAGAGGAATTATTTCAATCAGTTCGCTTTTTTACTTTGACTAATTCCAATGTGTTGGTTGATAGCAAAAAAAAAAAACTATTTGTTATAAGTGCAAGCTATCAGACAGTGTTTCAGCTCTTATCATGGATGAAACACTCATAAACAGGCACACAAAGTGTGCTAATCCCTTTAGCATCTCCATGGAGACTTTAGATTGAGGGGTCTATAAGGGCTTACCAATGCCCTTTCCTAAAAACCACTGTGGCTGGGACTATGGGGGAAAGCAAGGCACTGAGCCATGAAAGCATGCCATATCTGTCTTTGTGCCTGCCTTCGAACCCATTTTGCATTTTCATGGAGTTAATCCTGGCTTGGCCAGTCTGGTTGTGCATAAATGATCACTTCAGGAGAAGTTCAAACAGCATCAGTATGCATGACCCTTAAATCTCCTTGACATCAGCAACCAGGACAACAGGTCTCTTCACCAATTTCTTTCTGTAGGCCAGCACATGACTGCTTTGCTGTGGCTGTTTCTGCTATTAAGGGAGTGAGAAATAAAAGGCAGAAAAGGACAGAAATTAAAGACATAAAAGAGATACAAAGTAATTTCAAAGTAACTTCATGTATCCTTTTATAAAGCCTTCAAGACATAAATAAGTATATTTATATATATAAGCAAGAAAATGAGATGATAACTCATTTTAAATGTTTTTAACTTTGTGAGATGCACAACAATGGCTATATTTAGGGATGTGTTTCACCTTCCTGTTATATTTTCAGTTAACACATATACACATATTGCACATTCGGTTTGACATCAGCCATCAAGAGAGATCTAACTTTTTATTTCACATAATAACAACCTAAATTGTGATCTCCATTATTATGCTCTTACAGATCTATTGTACATCTTAAATGAACCTAGCATGCATAGTTTTGTATGCGTACTTGTCTTCTCCTGCTTCGTCCGGAACCATGTGGCGGGGGCAGCAGCCTCAGCAGAGATTCCCAGACTTCCTTCTCTGCAGATACCTCCTCCAGCTCCACTTTGAAGAAACCATGATGTGGTTCCAGGCCAGCTGAGAGACACAGTCCCTCCAGCATGTCCTGGGTTGTCCTCTAGGCCTCCTCCTGGTGATTTCCCAGCCACCTCTGCTGATCTCTCATCATGTGGAGGAGAAGCGACTCTACTCCGAGCCTCTTCCCAATGACTGAGCTCCTCACCCTATCTCCAAGGAACTATCCATCCACCAGTAGGCTCACAGCCTGAAGGGGGGAACGACGAAGGACCGATGCAGAGAGAATGGGGCAGGAGTCAGAGGTGGAGGCATCGATAACCTGATCTACAGATGCTTAATAAATCATTTTGAAAATGTATTTTTTATGTGGTGCTTTTGATTTAGAAAAAAACACTGAGTAAGGTTTCATTAGCAGCCAACACATTGTTTTTTTTGACAATGATGATGATGTAAAGTATATATGAACAGACCTGCATAAATACATACATACTAGAATGAGAATGTGTATTTGGTGCATTTATTAGCAATGTCCTTATTTCACAAGGGCTTGTGTTTATATTAGATTTTTTTGTGCATATACTTTTCTTGTGATGTGAAGAAAAATGCAGTATATAAAATAGAGATTAAAATAGAGTGTAGAGTAAAGGCATTTGTAGTACCCATGGTCATCTGTCCTGTTCGTGGCTACATATGCAAACAGGTTAACCCATATAACTTTTTGATTCTTTTGCAAGAGCTGTATCGGATAAATGTTACATAAAAGGTGAAATAACTTGGCATTTTATCAGGAATTTGTATAGTTTTAAAATCCTTAAGGACCCCAACATAAAGAATGAAAACTGAACATCAAACAGGGAAACAACAGGAAGAGAAAATACAAGATTAAGAGCAGGATGGACAAAAAACAGGAAGTAGAGAGAGATTTAGGGCTTAGAGAGAATGATACTACCCCGTGGCCTCTGTTCTCAATATTGGCTGTTGGTTCGCTCCAGTGATCTAAGCTCCACTCCCCCAGCTTGGTCCCAATTTTCTCTTCATGAGTCAAATTAGTTCCAATACCAAGAGCTTAGTTGGGCTTGAAGAAACAGCTGGCTCTGTGTGGGGCCTTGTAGATCCAAAATGGCTGACTGATAACAACAGTAAAGCTTATGTTACCCTAAACATTCCTCTCCCACAAACGTTAGGTCAAAGAGACTGAAGGCACCATGAACAAAATGTAAACATAAGGAGACAGCTTCTTTTTCTCATGTTTAAGGGGAATAGTGAAATTAATGTTTTTAGGTATGATGCAGTCAGCATGCAAATGTGTTTTTTAAGTCTCTCATTTGGACAAAAAGAAAGACAAAACAAATACGTTCAGAAAGAGCATTTCACTTGAGAAGTCAAAACTAATTCCTTAAAGTATTCACTGATATGCTGCCTATTTTTTGTTCTCTTTTATATGAATAAAAACACAAAAAAGATTAACTTAAAGGTAGGACACAAACATGTTCTTGATACATCACCTGATAGTCAGTATTCCTAAATAGTAGGGTCTTACTTTTTCAATGAAGCATTATTGTTTTTGCAAATTTTCCAACTTAATCAAAGGTATAAATTTGGAAGTACCAGTTGCTTTAACAGCTCTTTTTACAAACAGCTCCTGATATCGGGTCTGTGTCATTGCGAGTGCTACGTCTTATGAAGTCCCAAAACGCAAATTAGCATTTTTATTTGACAGAGATTAATTTTCTGGGGAGAAAGACACATTTACACGGTTTTGGCAGACTTGCCTAAATTATTCCAAAACGACAGCTGGGCCTGGCACACTGCCC